CTCAAAGTGAGCGCTCTACCACTTGAGCTACAGTTTTCTGGTGGTTTATTGGAGATAGGTGTCTCACGATCTCTCCTGCCCGGGCTGGCTTTGAACCGAGATCCTCAGATCTCAGCCTCCTGAGTAGCTAGGATTACAGGCGTGAGCCACCAGCGCCAGGCTCCCTGAGCTCTTTTGCTGAAGGCTAGTGCTCTACCACTTTGAGCCATGGCTCCTCTTTCAGTTTTTTAGTGGTTAATTGGAGATAGGAGTTTCATGGGAACTTTTCTGTTGGGGCTGGTTTTGAACTGCAATCCTCAGATCTCAGCCTCCTGAGTAGCTAAAATGACAGGTGTGAGCCACCAACACCTAGCCTCATACACATTTCTTTAAATTATATTTAATCTCCAAATGAAGACAATACAAAACTATATCATACCTAATTACATCACACAAATTTATATTGAACCTAATTATATCAAGATATCACACCCAATCTGATATGATTGCCCTATATAGAACTAGACTTGCCAATCTTTCCTAATAGAAGGCTGCACAGTTATTTTTTTTTTGGGTTTTTTTTTTTTTTGCTTTCTTTTTCTTTTTGCTTATGTGGTGCTGAGGAATCGAACCCAGGGCCTCTGGCATGCAAGGCAAGCACTTTACCACTGAGCCACCTTCCCAGCCCCTGCACAGTTATTTTTAAGAATTACTGCAGGTTACAAACTCCACTTGAAAAAGCAATTATCTCATTTAAATGTGATAAATGCTGGAGGACCTCAAAATGGGTTGGTCACAGCAGATGTAGCTCTTTACACTGGAAATTTTCAAACCTTAAAAGGCTTTAGAGATTTGGACCTAAATGTGTTTGAGATCTGGGAACAGACGAGACCATAACATACTGCAAAACTGGGGTGTTGACAGAGTGCTAGCCAATGAGCAAAGCAAAAGGGGAAGGTAGTGAGTTCAAGTCCTGGTCTTGGACCAAAAAGGAGAAAGAAAGAAAGAAAGGCAGGCAGGAAGGAAGGAAAGAAGGAAGGAAGGAAGGAAGGAAGGAAGGAAGAAAGAAAGAAAGAAAGAAAGAAAGAAAGAAAGAAAGAAAGAAAGAAGAACACAAAAACCTATGTTGTCTAGGTGGTTTTCTTGAAGGTACAAGGATTTTTGCACCAATTGCCAAACACTCTAGATTGTAGAGAGTGGGAATTCTTCTGCTATCCTTTTCTTTCTCTCTTTTTCTCTCACCTTCTCCTTCCTTCCTTCCTTCCTCCCTTCCCTCCCTCCCTTCCTCTCTCTCCACTATGGGAGGGTCAGGAAGGTTGTGAAGTTATTCGAAAGTAAAAGAATCTAAGCCCAGTGCTTCCTCTTTTCAACTACTACTGAAGCAGGAGGGGCCAGAATGAAGTTCAATCCCGTTTTCACTTCTGATGGAAGGGGCGGTGTGTGAAGAGTGGAGGGAGAGAAGTCATGGAAGGCATTTCCTTGACCTTCCCATGTCCATAGGAGGATGATATCTTCTTCTCTTTCCCAAGACACAGCAGTACAGTGTGGCAGCGATGCCCTTCCCAAGGGCTGGAAAGGCGCAGCCTGTGTAGGACACTGGAGACTGTATACTGGGAGGGTCATAGAATGGGCAGAGCAGTCCAGGCTTGCAGGAAGCAGTGTGTCATCCACACCGCATGTGTGTAGCAGGGGAAGGATAGTGGCACCACTGCCCACGGGCATTTTCCCCAGCAAGATGGTGAGCACCAGGCTGAAACTGAACAAAGACCACAAAAAAGATCCTGGCATGGAAAACCAAGTCCTGGCAAATATAAGGGAGAAACCTTAGAAGACGCAGGTATGAAGTCATCTTTTTATTTTTGTTGTTTGTTGTGAGCCTTGAACTCTGGGCCTGGGCGCTGTCCCTCAGCTCTTCAGCTCAAGGCGAGCACTCTACCACTTGAGCCACAGCGCCACTTCTGGTTTTCTGGTGGTTAATTGGAGATAAGAGTCTCATGGACTTTCCTGCCTGGGCTGGCTGTGAACTGTGATCCTCAGATCTCAGCCTCCTGAGTAGCTAGGATTACTGGTGTGAGCCACTGGCGCCCAGACTTTCATTAAAAACTTCTTAAATAGCTGGGTACCAGTGGTTCATGCCTGTATTTCTATCTACTCAGGAGGCCAAGATCTGAGGATTGTGGTTCAAAGCCAGCCCCGGCAAGAAAGTCCATGAGACTTGTATTTCCAATGAAC